ATTATTCAAACTGTATCATCTTTTGATTCTTGTTTAATCCGGGAAAACTGTGATGCTAATCAGCTGTTTAAACTGTCTCAATCTTTTTAGCATCCTCCTCCGGGTTGGATAAAGGTAAATATTGATGCTTCAGTTCTTCTAATAACAAAACCGTTATTAGAGGAATTTTCAGGGACTGTAAAGGCTGTGGTTTAGCTGCTTTTGGATTTCAATGTCTTCATTGGGATTGCTCACAAATGGAGTTATTGGCTATTCTGGCATTGAGAGATTATATCCAAGATTGGATGCTTAAAGTTAAAGGTATTGTGATTGAAGGTGACAATTTTAATGTCTTCAAGATCTTTCAAAACTCCTTTAACAAACCAGTTTTTGATAAAGAATTTCTAAAATCAAAGGATTTAGATTTTGTTTGTAATTTTAAGCATTTCATCTTTTCTTTTACTAATAGAAATTGTAATAAGTTAGCTAATTTTTGTGCTAACTATGCTCATTATTCGTCATTCTATTGGGATGATTTCTCTAGGGATAAAGTTCCTCCTTTTCTAGACTTGTTGGAGGAATCTTCTTGTAAGTAATTGGTGATTAATAAAATTTGCTTATTGCATTATTCAAAAAAAAAAAAAGAAAAGAGATGTGCATCTCATCACTTATAAAATGGATATAGTATAATTTAGATTGATTATTTTTTATAAGAAAATTAGATCATTTAGATTGCAAAGATTGTAAAGTTATTCCGAGTGAAAATTTATGTACCAAACATCGATTATTAGTTTTAGACTTTAAGATAAATAAACAGGAAATAAAAAATAAAATTAAACGATATTCTAAAGATTAGATGGGGGCATTTAAAGAATATATAAAAAAAATTATAAGAGTAGATTTTAGATATGAAGATTTTTTCTTTGCATGCGGATGCTAATGTTATATGGGAAAAAATAGTTTGTACTTTTAAAATTATTACAAAAGATGTATTTGGAGTATCAAAAAGAAAATATCATAATAGTAAAAATAGTTGGTGGTGGAATCCAAATGTACAATAAAATATAAAAAATAAGAAGAATTGTTATAAAAATTGGATTAGATGTAAAAATTTTGATAATTGGGAAAGATATAAAGAGACTCGTAAGGAATCTAAGAAAGTAATTGCGATGCAAATATCTTAGCTTTTAATGATTTATATAATATATTAGATACTGAGAAGGGAGAAAGATATATGTATAAGTTAGCCAAATCAAGAGATAAGAGTAGTAAAGATTTAGTTCAAGTGAAGTGTATTAAGATTGAAGATTAAAAAGTAATTTTCTTAGAAGATGATATTCAATCAAGGTAGATGAGATATTTTGATAAACTTTTTAATGAAAAATGTGAAAATATGATTGACTTTAGTGACCTTAGCTCCCTAAATGAAAATATAAATTTCTATTTTTATCAGCATATTAATAAAATCGAAGTCAGAGAGGCTTTAAAGAAATTGAAGTGTGGAAAAGCTATTGAACCTGATGATATTCCAATAGAGGTGTGGAAATACTTAGGAAATGAAGGAATTTCTTGGCTTACTAAAGTTTTAATATTGTTTTGAAGACTAAAAAGATGCCAGATGAGTGGAGAATGAGTGTGCTAATTCCTATTTTTAAGAATATAGGTGATGCACAAGATTGTGCGAATTATAGAGGAATTAAGTTAATATGTCATACTTTAAAACTATGGGTGCAAGTTATGGAGCATAGGTTGCGGCGTGATACTAATGTTTCTCAAAATCAATTTGGATTCATGCCGTGTAGGTATACTATGGAAGCCATACATTTATTGAGAGATTTGATGGAGAAATATAGAGAGAATAAGGAGGATCTACATATGATATTTATTGATTCAGAGAAAGCATATGATAGTTCCAAGAAAAGTGCTATGGAGAGTTCTTGAAAAAAAAGGAGTTAATAATGCTTATATTCAAATCATTAATGATATGCATGCAGATGATATTACTTGTGTTCAAACATAAGATGGTTTGACCAAGTATTTTCCTATTTTGGTTGGATTACATCAAGGACAGCCTTAAGCCCATTGCTTTCGACATGGATGTTCTCACTAGACATTTGCAAGAGGATGTACCTTGTTGTATGCTTTTTGCTGATGATATTCTTCTTTTTGATAAGACTAGAGAGGGAGTTGAAGGTAAACATGAATTATGGAGGCCAACCTTAGAATCTAAATGTTTTCACTTGAGTAGATCTAAAATTGAATATATGGAGTATAATTTTAGTAGTAATGGATCTAGTGAGGGGATTGTGACTTTGAGCGATCAAGTCAGATCAAGTCATTAATAAGAGTACACATTTTAGATATATTAGATCTATTGTTCAGTGTGATGGTGAAATAGATGTAAATATTATTAGTATAATTCAAATTGGATGGTTGAAGTGGAGGAATGCATCGGACTTGTTGTGTGTAGAAAAAACCCCCTCAAACTTAAGGGAAAATTTTATAAGATGGTGGTGAGACCTGCAATGCTTTATGGTGTTGAATGTTGGTCATTAAAAAAGAGAACCATAATGCTAAGTTAAGTGTTGCAGAGATGAGGATGCTCTAGTGGATGAGTGGCTTTACCCTTAGAGATAGGATACGAAATGAGCATATACATGAAAAGTTTGCAGTAGCTCCAGTGGAAGAAAAGATTAGAGAGAGTCTCCTTAGATGGTTTGGTCACATAAAACGGTAGCCTCCTGATGACCCAATTAGGAAAATAGAGGTATTAGATTTGACTTATGTTAAGAAAGGTTAGAGATAGACCTAAAAAGAATTGGATAGAAAATATTAGAAATGATCTTTCTTTATTAAATTTAAACGAGAATTTGACTTTTAACATGACACAATGGAAAAAAAGGATTCATGTAGCCGACCCCACGTAGTGGGACAAAAGCTTGATGTTGTTGTTGTGATGGTATGCAATGACCGAACGATACGATTGACACAAAGATGGATTTCATGATGCATATTGAGATTGATTGATATGGTATTTTTGAAATAGTAAAAATGCAGATTCAGAGTTTTATGTGTAGTTCCTCTTGCAGATGGTGCTGGGTGGTCTGTGAGAGAGTGTATAGAGCATATCAAGCATAAGCCTTTTTAAAATGTAGAATTAACATGCCGGAATAGTTACGTTCTTACTTTTGTCATCCATTTTTTGTAGATATGCTGGAATCTGGTTCTCAATTTTCTTATGTTTAATACTCAACTTTCAATCATGAAGTTCTGTAGGTCAGTCTGGCTAAAACAGGTTTGCTGAAATGCTAATGGTGGAAGATTTTGAAATTAGTTTTACAAATTTCCAATTCCATGGTGATATGGGTACGGATTGTGGGTGAAATAGATGGACAGATTAAAGTGTGGATAGATCGACCACAAATATGCAAAATGATTGGCAAGAAAAAAGAGGTAGGCTAATGATATATTAGATTTAAGTAATGCAGAAGGATTTGTGTATAATAGGTTTCTTGATAGGAAACACTTGGATTTCCAAGTGTTTCTCACCAAAACCAAGTAGATCCAATGTAAAATTGCTGTCCACAGCAGAAAAACAGCCAAAAACAGTAGGAAAGCAGGAAAAACTGCAGAAAAATCCGAGAAAAGACTTGTATTTTACTAGTAGTTGCAAAGAAATAGCAAAGATACAATTGATCCTCAATTCGAGAGGAGGATCGATCTCTCCCAAATCTCTAGACCCCGCTAGAGCCCAAAGAAATCCTAGTTCTGCGAGATCTCAAATTTCAGCCAAATTCAAGATACTCAAAACGTAGGAAAATCTACTATTTAATGCATATAATTCAAAAGGAATTTCCTAAACAATCCCTACAATCAATTTCCCTCCTAAAATCCATTCAAAAACCTTCCAAAAATCGGCCGCAAGGCGTGCGTCACGCGCTGCTTCCGCCCAGGCGGAAGCAGTCTCCGCCATTTTGCGGTTTCGTCCGTGAACCGGTCCCGCCTGGACCGGCTGGACCGGTCCAGTGGACCGGTCTAACATTTCTCCATGCACCCCAACTGAGTATTGCATGAGCTAATGACGATGTTGATGAGTAGTATATGTTGTTTCATCTTTGGCTTATAAAACAATAAAAATATACATCACTATAGGATGAGTTTCTATCCTAATAAAATGATTAGCTTTCTTGATTGAGAATGAGACGATTGAAATGTAGGTGGATAGTGTTTGAAGCTGCAAATTTTTTGCAGTAAATGATAATTAGTTTCTAACCTGTACATGTGTCTTGTGGCAAAGAGGACTGATATAATTAAGAAGAAAGGGAAAATAGAGAAAACATTAGATAAGGCTGGACATAAAATAAATTAATTTGATTTCTCACATAACATACTAGAATGCACAACCTGTGCATGAGGCGAACTGTTAAAACTTGGTCTTGGGGAAATTTGATATACTTAGCATTTACTTTGTACTGTAAAGAGTCTGTTTCATACCTGCTTCTATTTATAGCTACTTGACTTCCCATATTGAAATTGTTAACCTATGCAGACAGCTATTTCTGTACTTAGTCTTACCTTTGTATAGTAAAAGAGTTTGTTTCCTACCTACTTTTATCTGTAGCTACATGACTTCCTATGTTGAATTTGTCATCCTATGCGGTCAGTGATTTTTGTATTTGTTTCTTAAGATATGCTGATGACCACTCAAATTGTAATCAATTTGCACGGTATAATCAAAGGAAAATATGAGTATATGCTTGTAAATTAAGTAGTGCCCAATGCTCTTTGGTTTGCTTAACAAAGTTAAATACTGCCTTAACTACTATTTTTGCAGCATTTTATGGCTTGATAAGATTATTTTTAAATGTTATCTTATTTTTTTTAAATATCATCTTGCAAATCTTCCTTCTATTATCGTGACTGATTGTAACATGATCAATTTAATTGTTCAATACTTTGAATGATAACTTAGCATATTCCCTCGTTGTTAACAAGTACTTAGAAGTTGACCATTCATGCAGGAAGCATCCAAAATGTCAGTTCTACGACTATAAAGTCTTTGAACCTTTCTTCAAATTCATTAACCGGCCACTTACCTTCTAGTCTTGGGAGCTGCACGGTCTTGGATTTGAGTAAAAACATGCTATCTGGAAATCTCGTAGTAATGCAAAATTGGGATTACAAATTAGAGGTTATCAAGTTGAGTTCAAATATGCTGGCAGGCTCTCTACCTTCTGCATTAGGAAAATACCCAAAGTTATCAATCGTTGATCTTAGTCTAAACCAACTTACAGGATCTGTGCTTCCAAGCTTCTTCACATCTCTAACTTTAACAAGTTTGAATCTGTCAGGGAATCAGTTCAATGGATCAATTCCACTTCAAGCGTCACAACTGACAGAATCGATACTTATGACAAATAATCATTTACAAAGCCTTGATTTATCTAATAATTCATTATCTGGTTCATTACCTCCTGAAATCAGTACTATGACGAGTCTTAATATTTTGATTCTTGGCAAGAATTCCTTATCTGGGAAGCTTCCTATCGAAGTAAATAATCTTCATGAATTGGAGGTTCTTGATCTCTCCCTTAATCATTTTATTGGAGCTATTCCAGATATGATTCAGCTTGATCTGAAGGTTTTCAATGTTTCCTATAATGATCTTTCTGGTGAAATTCCTCAAAGCTTGCTGAAGTTTCCATTGTCGTCATTTCGTCCTGGAAACACTTTACTAGACTTCCCAAACCATCTCTATGTGGGAAAGAATAATAGTGGAGTTGTTGAAAACATTAGTCACCGCAATCGCTCGAATGTTAGTATTAGAATTGCATTAATTGTTGGTTCAATTGGAGCTGTGATGTTGATTTTTGTTATGTTCATTGCATTCCATAAGATAAGATCCAAAGAGTTTTGTGTGAAGATTGGGTTTGGAGGAGAGGCTGCTGGAAGAGATGCATTAGATATATTTGGTCACCCTAACAGATTCAGCACTTCAAAAGATGATCCATTGCCAACTTCAACGAGTTTTTCAAATGATCACTTATTAACTTCTGCATCTCGATCACTTTCTGCACAGAAGGATTTATTAATCGAAACAGTGGAATATGGCTATTCAGATCCAAGAGGCACTAATGCGGAACCGTTTCCTGGTCTTCATGAACGCAAATCTTCCCGAGGCTCTCCTCCATCTTCATCGACGCTTTTATCCGATTCACATGCATTGGAGCAGCCAGTGCTGTTGGATGTATGCACACCTGATAGGCTGGCGGGAGAGCTTTTCTTTTTGGATACCTCTTTAATATTTACAGCCGAGGAATTATCACGAGCCCCAGCGGAAGTTCTTGGTAGAAGCAGTCATGGGACATCTTACAGGGCAACCTTGGATAATGGTCATATGTTGACTGTCAAGTGGTTGCGTGTGGGTCTTGTCAAGCATAAAAAGGACTTCGCCAAAGAAGCCAAAAGAGTTGGAACCATCAGACATCCAAATATCATCTCTTGGAGGGGCTATTATTGGGGTCCTAGAGAGCAGGAAAGATTAATAATTTCAGATTACATCCATGGAGATAGTTTGGCGCTTTATCTATATGGTAAGACTTCAAATTTTATTTGATATATATATATATATAATATATATATATATATATATTCATTTAGGAGAGCAATACTTTTTGCAGGATATTTCTTACATGTTACTGTCTATTAGTTGTTGTTTTTATTTCTTTTATGTATACTTTTTCTTTTAGCATCATAAAAAATCTTTACGTTTATGGGTGAATTGGTTCTTATATTCTTTATAGATATGAGCGACAAAAGAAGAAACAATGACATTTTGTTGGTAATTTATTTCACTCTGTGCATTAGAGGTCTATTTTTCTCGTTTTCTTTATGAGGTTTTCATTATTTTTCAATGGGCATCGCAGTGTTTTCTAGACCGGGGATGTTTAATGCAACGGTGTGTTATTGTTTTGAGTTGGAAGTTTTAGAGAACTGAAATGGTTCGGAGTTGTGTGTTAATGTATGAATTTTTATCAGCATTTGAATAGAAACGACAGAATGGCATAATTTTGTTTATTTATTTGATGTCTAATGCATCACTCTCCAACAACAACAACAACAACAACATCAAGCCTTTATCCCACTACGTGGGGTCGGCTACATGAATCCTTTTTCTCCATTGTGTCCTATTAAAAGCCAAATTCTCGTTTAAATCTAATAAAGAAAGGTCATTCCTAATATTTTCTAACCAAGTCTTTTTAGGTCTACCCCTACCTTTCTTAACACAAGTCAAATCTAATACCTCTACTCTCCTAACTGGGTCGTCGGAAGGCCGCCTTTTTATGTGACCAAACCATCTAAGGCGACTCTCTCTAATCTTATCTTCTACTGGAGCTACTCCAACCTTTTCACGTAATGCATCACTCTCCAAAGGAATTATTACTTAAAATTATTGTTTCTTGTGCCCATTGTTTTTTTGGGGTCAAACTAAAAAAAAAAATTAGGCTATGATATTCTGATCAAAATTTTTTTGGTTAAGTTAAACTTTCAAAGTTTTTAGTCTGTTTTAAGAAAGATGTAATATATAGATAAATAAATTTGCACCCATCTCAAAGCAGTTCTAAGTGCTTTGAGCTATATCTTGATTATTTTTTAATTAGAATATTCAAATATAAATATTTTTTTCTCAATCAAAGCAAAAGTGGATGTAAGCATCCTCCTTTTTTACTGGTTCACTTAAGTTATGGGCATAAGCGGTAACAAATAACCATTTTATGTGTTTCTTTAGGGAGTGCAGCATTAATCAATTTTTTATTTTGGGCCACTTTTGTTATGAACACGAGAAACAATAAACTCTCCTTTAAATGTTAATTTATTTGAGCAGCGTGAATTACTCATCCTTGTTTTCTACCGGAGTGTGGAGTATTACATAAAACAATATCTCACTTAGTAATCTGCATTGTCTGACATTCGATCTCTTCTCAGAGTCAACACCACGTCGATACTCCAGATTATCAGTCAACCAGAGGCTAAAAGTAGCCATTGATGTAGCTCGATGCCTGTACCATTTTCATCACGATAGAGGATTGCCACATGGTAATCTGAAGCCAACAAATATAATTTTGACTGGTCCAGATCTCACAGCAAATCTTACAGACTATGGTCTTCATCGTCTCCTAATACCCAGTGGCATCGCCGAGCAAATTTTACATCTTGGAGCACTCGGTTATCGAGCTCCAGAATTGTCCACCGACAAACCGTTACCATCTTTTAAGGGTGATGTATATTCCTTTGGGGTGGTATTGATGGAATTACTAACTCGAAAAAGTGCTGGTGATATAATTTCAGGCCAGCCTGGTGCTGTTGATCTAACCGACTGGGTCCAAATGTGCACTAGAGAAGGACGAGGAACTGATTGTTTTGATCGAGATATTGCCGGCTTAGAGGAGTCTCCAAGGGTGATGGATGAGTTGCTTGCTGTGTCCCTAAAATGTATTCTTCCTGTAAATGAGAGGCCTAACATCCAGACTATATATCAAGACCTTATTTCCATAACAATGTAAGGTTTTTTGTACATGTTATGGAATTTAATTTGACATTTTTTTTCTTTACCCCTGATTTAATGGGTTTCCTTTCTGGAAAGCGGGTTTTCAATTGATTGTGTAAAAAGATTGATCCATTGATTGATTTATTTTCGATTTCTGTGTTGAGTTGAACAGGAATTTCATTCTACAAGTCTTCATTTCAATTTCCAGATTTCTCCTCAGTTCTTGTATATGTTTCTGATAGCTGAAAAACATTACGATAAAGTTACTGTTTCCTGCAGTGTAGTCAAGTAGGATTCAATTCTTCTTGTTACTTTCTATATTTGTTTGATAGTACATAAGTAGAATGTAGAAGATCATGCATGACTTCTACATTTTTATAATATCTTTATTTTTTCCCCTCTTTGATTGGAATGAGACTTTCATTATTCAACAAATTTTTTCTGAAACTTATTCTACAATTTCTAAAACATTTGTAAGACTATTTGAAGATTTTGATGCATTTTGTTTAGCTAATATACTTATTTTTCAATTTTATGTAACATATCATTTATCATTTAGCTAAGCTATAGCCTCATTTGACTCAACATAAGTAGTAGAATTGCATTTACCTCGTCATTTTTCGGAGTAATGGGAGAGAGCTTCGCTCTTTTCTTCTTCTTCTTATGGTGGAAGCACAAGGCAGATTTGCATTGACAATCTTCTTTTTATTGCTTCCCTAATTTTCCTTCCTAGAGACTTGCCATTGTCAATCAACCTTTTGAGATTCGTTCATAGTCCACTTTAAATTTGTTCCTTGATCATCATTCCTTATACTAAAAAATAGAGGTGTCCGCATTCATAATAGTTTTACAGGTTTTCAAGTAAGCAATTAAGTGCAAAATCTTCAATCTTTTTGCAAATGGGCATAAAAAAAATAATTAATAGACTTGGCTTTTGATTATGTAAATACAATTTCATCTTGAGATTGTACTTAATGGGTTCTCAATATAAATATTGTTAATATAATGCACTGGACCATGTATTTAAATGAAAAAAATTCAAAAAAATTGCTTTGAAGTATTTTTATCTTTTAATTGTCCCATATTTTATGATTTGTCTTTTAATTTATTCGCTCATAGTGAAATTGGGGTAGGTCAATTGAATGCTGCAAACATTACGTATTTTCATTATGCTCTAATAGGAATTAAAAGCTTGAACGGACATCAAGATGGAGGGTGAACTGCATGTATGATGCAAAATTCTTATTAAATTAGTACCTAGAAAGAAGCAATCTACACAATTATTTAATTGACAATAAATTAAATAAATAAGAAATCAGGCAAAAGATAAAAAATAAAAAAAAAATGAAATTATTTCTTCTCTGGTGTGCTTGAATCTTTACAAGAGGGATGGTTTATCGTTTTAGTGATGCATGACAGATCTAATGCATACAAGGCTTTTAAAACCGGACCGGTCAACGAACCGGAAGAAGGAGGGGTTAGAGGTTTGATGGTTCGACCGGGGTCGAACCGGATGACGTAATTTGATTCAAAATAAGCGAAGAACAAATAAATTCCAATAAAAACTGGGCCAAATTTTAGGACTCTGCTTCCACGTACAAAAGCATTAGCTGATTTGTTCACTTAAACATAATAATATCAATAATAATATATATAATTCTATCAACAATGTGAGATTGCTTTTGTATTTGTTTAACACCACTCGTATGAACACTATAGGGTCTGTTTGGAAGACAGATTTAAGCAGGATTTACCTTAAGGGGCTGTTTGGTAGCAGGATTTAAGCAGGCTTTAGGCCAGATTTGTTGTAATACCAAACGGTTTGAGAGCACGCAATAAATCTGAATCGATGGTAAATCCTAAATCCGGGATTTGCTAAATCACGCAAAGCCGAAGCAGCAACGAAGAAATGGCGACGAGGAAAAGCCAAATCCTGATAAATGTATAAATCACATTTTACCTCCATTTTGAACTCAATTACGGATTTGCTAATCCTATAGTTCGGCGTATTTAAGGGATTTAGACGAAAAATACCCGTTGACGTCTTCGCCTGCAGCTTCAATTGTTACTTCCTCGTATCTTTTTCGACGAGGGTTTCCGGTATAAGCATAAGGGCGTGAAATACGAAGGTTTTCGACCCCACGATCCCGTCGACGCCTCGCAGCAAGCTCCCGTCGGGACTTCCGATACGCCAAAGAGGAAGAAGATACACCGAAGAGGAAGAAATACACGATATGTCCGAATGCCGAATGAGTTTAGGGTTTTATTTTTCTCTCTCAGCCGCGAAATCGCGCTGTAGCTGAACCGGACGGTTTTCGGAAATCGGAACCGGTTCGGCGGTTCAGCGGTCGAACCGCCGGTTCGAGCGGTTCAAAACCGATTATGTGCAGAGCCGGTTCTAAAATGAACCGTAACCGGCCGGCCGGCTGGTTCGCGGTTCAACCGGTTGAACCGGCCGGTCCGGTCCGGTTTTAAAAGCATTGAATTGCATATGAATCAATACCCAAAAATATACAAGAGAAGCCTGATTTTATATTATAAAAAAAAAACTAAAAAGATGAAAAGTATGAAGTTTAGTTCAGTTGAAATAATTTTACCATACAAGTTAAAGACAAATATGGGTAATTTTGGTTGTTAGAGGATGGGTGAAGATGATTGTAGTGCCAATTGACTATGGTTGATGGTGTGTGAGTGACAATGATCATATGCATTGGTTGCTAAAGATGTTGGTTATCAGTGCTAGTCAACAATGATAATGGTTCATAATGTTAAAAGATTTTTTGCTTGGATGTCCTTCGAATTAGGAGAGATTATTACATGCGGGATCTGTTTGGTTCTCCTCCGAATTAGGAGAGATTATTACATGCGGAGTTTAGACGCAGAGAATCGTTCGGTTTTTTCATTGTGAACAGTAAAAATACAATAAAGTGTAGTGGTGAACATTAATTGTGCTTTTACTATTCAGTCACAAAACCGAACGATTATTATCTATGTCCGAGCTCCGCACGTATTAATCTCTCCTAAATTAGAGGGAAATCTAGTGACTAGAAAGATAGAAGAGAAGTCTAGACATGCAGAATTTCAAATATGTTTGTTTGGGGCTCTAAACATTATAGAGGTTTAAAATTCGGTAAGCATGACAATTTTCTCCACAAAAAGTTTTCAAATGTGTAGGAATATGACTTCGATAGACATTGAAGGAGGCATTCTGATCAATTTTCAAGAATTTGCATTTCATTAAATGGTTTGAATGCAACCCCTTTATATATTTTTTGGACATTCAGTGCCTTGATGAATTTAATTGATAAGCGATCTTAGACTTTTCATACTTTTCTTTTCTAGATACTTATTTTGACTATAATATACTAAATTTTCAGAAAGTGGATTCTTAATTAGCTTCAATTAAGTTTTCAATTATGCTTATGAGTACGTGATTTTGGCCCATTTAAACTCAAATTTAGGCATTCATGTTATTTTTAGGCTCTTTTTATTGAACTGCATTATCTCAAATATAAATTTCTAGGAAATATAGTTTAGATGATATCAAAATTAATTCTTGTTGATACTCAAATACTTGGATGCTTTGATGATTTAATGTTTATATCAAAATTCGTGTTTGATAAAAAATGTTTAGCTGCATATCAACTGCCCTAGTCAAGGACTTAAATTACTTAAGTCTTGAGTCAAAATCCTCCAAAATGCTCAAAATTACCCCCAAAGACTCTATTATGGCCCAAATGTGTCAAAACCAAATTTGAACCAAAAAAAAAAATCATCTTAAAAGGTCCTAAGATGCTAAAAAAACTAGTCTATGCTAAAAAATAGATAGAAAGCACCCTAATTAATTTGGGGCGAACTAGGTGGACCTCAATTGATGATTGTTGATGATATTACATTATTTGCTTGTGAGCAAGTCGTTGGAAGAAAATTTATCACCATTTGAGTCAGATTATTATAATATATTACTTTATTATTTTAAATCTTTTTAAAAAGATAGATAATTGATTCCTTAAATTTTTTTTTAAAGATATTTTCAAAAGAATTTAAGAAAATGCTACCTTTTTTCCTTTCTAACTTTTATAAGTCTATAAGTGATCATAATTTTTTCCCCTAGGCTTTTAATTTTTAAGGGGATTTATGTTGATTTATCTGAATGGAGGAAGCCTTTTCTTCGTTTTATAAAATTAGATATATTAATGTTGAATATTCTACATGTTGTGTTGTTCCTAAGGCAACGATTGTAGAATATTGATGATAGTCCAGTTAGTATCACTTGTAGAGGATTCATTTTGTGGTTCTAATTAAGGTATGTTAAGCTATAGTTTTATATGTATGGGGCTTGTTCACGAGTTAAAATATGAGTTCAGGGTTTTAGATGTTATGGTGAGGAGGGGATGCTATGGCATGGAGGTAGAAAGCTTTCAATATTTATGTTTTTATTTTGGCACACCCTAAAGTTTGTTGCATGAGATTTATTATGTTTTTTTTAAAGGTGAAACCTACGGAGGGGTCTACGCATTAATATCAGAAAAATTACAGTATTTAAAGGACTCTAAAGCTCGCTAATGCTCTGAAGAGCTACAAAATTAAAGTAAAAAAAAAACTAAGAGCTTGAGGTCCCTGCTAAGCAAAAATAGAAAGAAACCAAGGTACATTCTGCAGTGCAAAAAAGAAAACACCTAAAAAATAGGAAAGCAACAACAAAAAACTTTCAACTCCAGCTCTCCTTCTCAAAGGACGTCAGCACGAGTACCTACAATAAGAACAAACTGCAAACCAAGATGAAATCCATGATAAAGGAACAAGAAAACATCATATAAGATAGAATAATGATAACTCCAGCAACCACCAATACCCTTGCCATTAGTGAAACAACAACACCAAGCATTAGTGAAACCAGAAGACCAGCAATAGCTCCAAAAATTGCAATGAAGAGAAATTACAGGCATATAGCCACAAGTGGCAATTAAAGAACAACCCATCATAACAAAACCCAACAACCCAATCGAGAGAGTCCAACCAACCACCACCCGAACAACCCCAAAGGAGCCCAACCATAGAGAA